GAAACATAGGGAGAGTTCAAGGAATATTTCAAATTTTAATTACATTTCATCCAAAACCATTTCCCAGTTCAATCAGAAGTTTCTCAAAACCAGTCCAACAACTCCAGAATTCCACTGAGTAGTTTGCTCAGATCAGTTCTTACATTAAAAACAAAGAATGTTTATACTGAAGCTTTTAACCGGAAAAAGCTTGCTAACTTCTGTTTCTATATCTGGGAAAAAAGAAATCTGTTAATATAATACTGACTTTACTAGATAGTGCATGATTGCAGCAGTAACAGTAATGCAAGAATATGTCACTGCTTTTCCCTCTCTTCTGCTAAAAATCCGAAGTCTTGTGCTAGTCTTGATTTGAAATGGAAATAAACGTAATAATTCATACAAGATATATGGAAAATCAAAGTGAAAAAAAAGAGCCACTCTATTTTTCTCTGATTTCCATAAACCATGGTTTGGCCATAAGACATATATTTCCAGGACCCTTTGAAGATTTAGCCACCATTATATGAAATTATTATTTTCTCTAAAGGTCTAATAATGTCTGTGTGTTTAAAAGGCATAGGAAAAGTTCACTTCCAGACACACTTTTGCTGTGCCCACAGTCTACATAATGTCATTAAGTAGAGCAGAATTTAACCTATATGCTGTCTTAACTATTCTTTATGAAGTCCTTAAGAGGAAATCCTAGTTTTTAGAAAGTAATAAAGGAAAGATGATCACATTTGGCAGAAATGCTCCAAGGAAACTGTTATTAATATAGGAAAAGCCCTCAAAACTATATAGAAGATTACTCAGAATAAATATGTGTGTTTTCAAGGGGAAACATTTCTTTTTAGAGACTTCTGAAACCGTGCAAATGAAAGAAAAAAAGATCAATTACTTTAAAGATGTGAGTGGACCAGACATCTGCACATAGTGGAGTTTATATATGATGAAATAGGCATGAAATGAATTCAGAAACTTCTTGAGTACAAAAAGGTTTATATATATTTTAAAAGTCCCCAGTTCAGCCAGAGCCTTTGCTCTGTGGTTTACAGTGCATGCAACTCGTGTGACAGCTGGGGAGCCATTCACAGCAGCTTCATGCAGAGCTGCTACCAAACCATGCAGATAAAATGGGATTCACACCACCTATTCTCTGCCAGCCAAGGGGATTTCTCATGCAGAATTTAATTTGGTGGGCGAGTGGACCCAGAAAATTCTTTACAAACTTCTCTCATGAGAAAGTGGATGTGTCCAACTCAGGGGGCAGGAACAGAGACAAACCCCAGAGCAGATCAATGGTGCCTCCAACACACAAATGCCAAATGTGCTCAGTGCCCACAGGAATTGCTAGGGACAGTGATGGGATGGTTTGGAGGGAGGTGTTCTTTGCATAGCAGGAATGAAGCACGGGCAGATGACTCTTCAACTTAAAGATGAAAAGTGGTGTGTTTATTACAGCACCAGGCACAAGCAGAACAATTTCCAAAGGCATGTGCGAAGGATCACAGACTCCATTTATCTAAAAAAGTCTTACATATTCATATCATTCCCAAAACACCTAATACATATTCATTACCTAACCCCACCTACCCCTGTTTAGTATTAAAATGTATTATAATGAATCCAAAGTTCCTTCACACTTGTGCAGTTCCTCACCTTAAATGGGGCATGGGTTCTGAAATTGGTCAGTGGGTTCTGAAAGGGGGCATGGGTTCTGAAATGGATCATGGGTTCTGAAATGGGTCAGTGGGTTCTGAAATGGATCATGGGTTCTGAAATGGGTCAGTGGGTTCTGACATTGGTCAGTGGGTTCTGAAATGGGTCAGTGGGTTCTGAAATGGGGCATGGCTTCTGAAATTGGTCAGCGGCTTCTGAAATTGGTCAGCGGGTTCTGAAAGGCAGCATGGGTTCTGAAATGGATCATGGGTTCTGAAATGGGTCGGTGCTCTTCTGAGGTCAAAGTGACCCTTTACTTTTGCCTTGTAGACAGGCTTTGGTCCCCTTGGCTGTAGCTCAAGTTTCAGGGCCCAGGTCCTCTTCTTTTGCACAGTTAGATCAGCATCCTATTCTGTTTCTTTAAACACAGTAAAGACAAATATAGTATTTATATCTTAGCCTTAACTATTCCATCTGCTAAGAATTAACTATCCCTTATTATTTCTTCTTGCTGTACTCTTAATTTTTTCTATCCCCCCCTAACTAAACCTAGCTAAAGTTTTAACTCTTTCAGTTTCTTTAAACCCTTGATTCAGGACATCTCTCTGGCAGTCTGTTCTTCTGAAGAAAATGACTGTGAATTAATGTGTTGCTTGTTCTGGAAACTCTGTGATGAAAGTGATGAAGCATGGCATACTCTGGAAAGAGCAGATTTACAAGGAATGCAGTTGGAATGAGCCTAAACCTCTCCAGTAGCCAGTGCTGCTGGGAGCTCTGTGCCCTTCACAAATCCTGCTGGGCAGGGAACTTGGATAAATAAGTGTTCAGAGCTACCAATGCTTATGGTGTGATATTGGTTCTGGATGTCTCACTTTTCCTGGAATGCTGAGCTCAATTTCAACTACCTAATGCAAATGGTTATCCCTAATATGACCTTGAACAAATTATTCTTGGTTTCCATAAAAAAAAAAAAAAGAAAAAAGAAAAAAAAACAAAGGAAAAAAAAAAAAAAGTTGTTTGGTGCAATTTCTTGTGACATGTTACCAAAAACCTAAGGAAAGAACAGAGCAAATATTTTATAACTGTAAGTACTGCCATGTTAACAAATAGAACAACCTGTGTGTGATGTGCCTTTCACATATGTATCACTTTTATCTCAAAATAGGTACGTTTTTCACACAATAAGAAAAATTCCTCCAAGTGGCTGCTACTTAACCTTGTTCCTTTTCATCCACTTCTCAATGTACAGTAATTTCTAGAGCTCTCATTGCAGGAATTTAATTACTAGTTTCATTTCTACAAATGTTTGAAATTGGATCCCTTTTGTACCTTTTGTCCTGTTTAAAAGATATTTTCTGAAATGTTTCTGTTACACAGAAGCTTATCTGCAATTTTCAAAAGTCTCCCTGAATCAGTAAACCATAAATTTTTCATTCCACAAGTCCAACTTTGGAAAATGGTGAGCAGGCACGTTGAAAATGCTTTAACTATTACTGATTTCCAGAGGCACAGAGTTTTCTTCTGGCATTTTTAAAAGCATGTCCTATATTTTGCTTGTAAAAAGGGAGGAGAAAAAAAATGTGTTTTCTTCCTATTGTCTGAAATATATAAATGCTCACATATCTCACAGTGCTTCTGACATTGGCCTTCTCTGGAGTCTGGGTATTGGGCTAAATGGAGCATTTCTTTATTCTGGCTCAGCAGATCTTGGTAATAGGACCTATCAGGCCCAATATTCACTTTGAATTAAAAGGGAAATGAGTGGTGGAAGGGCAGGAATGGGAGAGACAGAAGACAGCAGTGAACTGTGTAATGAGGTGGCTGAGGTGGGATACAGTTGGTGTTCCTGGTATTTCACTGAGTAAATCTTGTTTAAGTTACCTGCACTTTGAAGGACAATAAATGAGCTTCCATGTCTGTTTTAAGTACAAGGCTCATAAGCCCTGAGTTATCATCAAAAACTCAATGAATACAATTTTTGTTTGATCAAGTTTACTTACTATTCTCCAGTGCAGAGTAGATGGGATGGAGGCAACAGGTTTTTTTGGTTTTTCTTTTGATTGTGGAAAGTAAACCTGAAAATCCCCCATCTGAAGGATTACAAACATAAAGAAAACTAGAAGTTAAAAAAAAACAAACTAGCTTCTCTGTGTAATGATATTTTATCACACCTGGCTTCTTTTATCATGACAGAATCTTGGCTTATGTTAGCACTATTTTGGAAACACTGTAATACAATAAACTTAGGTTTTTAAAATCAAAAATCATTTATATTGATCATTGAAAAAAATTAACAGGATATATATTTTCTATTAATTGCAGTATTCTTTATTAAAGAATAACTAATTATGTCCTACAGAGTGGTATCAATACAATACTGTCAATAAGAAGAGGAAGAAAAGAAATCTTAGTTAAATAATATTGATAAAGTTATGTTCTTTGCACTTCTCTGTACTTTTGCTTACTGTAACACTAAGATGGTGTATGGGCAGGTCAGCTGATTTATAAGAAAAATGGAGGATTTATAAGGCATTTACAGTGTGGTTCCAGGATCCCAAAAGGAAAAGAACAGAGTGAGCAGTTGTGTTAGGGTGCTGTGAAGCTGCCACAGAGGCCTGAGAAGGAAAACTTGGTTGTTATTGAATGTCTTGATATTATCACAGAAAATTTACTTCAATGCTACTTCTTGTGGCAACTGTCAGAAATCTGGCAGCACCCAGATAGCCCAGAACTACAATAAAGAGGTTTTTTAAATGAAAATGAATGAACAGATAAGGTGGTTTTAGACATGCATATCACTTTTTTTTTTTTTTTGGTAAATTTCTGTTAAGTATTTCTGGTCTGCTTTTAGTCCCCTTTAAATATAACCAACAAACTCCTCTAAGCTTTACCAATGTGCCATCCCCAGGGTCTGTCAGACATCCTAGAACACTAAATCCAGAATCTGAGTGACTTCAGAGCTGCCCTCCCCCAGCAATCTGGTACCACCAGTGTTTCAGCTGCTTCACAGGTGCACCATCATTCAGTGGTGCTGCTTCTGAGGAGACCATAAAAAACACAATGACAGACTTAAAAATATTTAACAGAGCTCAAAATATATGTGTATCTTTCATACCATTGTGGTTGCAATCAGATGCCGGTACTTAAAAAGGAAAAAAAATTCTCTCCAACCCTTATTTATGTACTGAGAATTGGATTCCTTATTAGAAACCCTACAATAGGTGTAAAGCAGCTGGAGCTCTTTATGTGAGTGGAGCATCTGCTGGCAGAGCAGCCAGCAGTCGCTTTCTTGGATTGAAGCTGCACTCCTGAGCTCCTTTTTCTTTCTCTTTTTTTTTTTTTTTTTTTTTTTTTGGCAGATGTGCAGCAAATAGCAATGGACTGGATCACTGGGAATTTTTACTTTGTGGATGACGTCAGTGACAGGATCTTTGTCTGCAGCCGGAATGGGTCAGTGTGTGTGACCCTCATCGAGCTGGACCTGAGCAACCCCAAGGCCATAGCTCTCGATCCAACATCAGGGTAAGGTTGTTTCTTTGCACTAGGATTTATTTCACTTGAGTCTGTGCCTGCACATCGTGTATCTGTTCCATGCAGGTGTTTTAATAACTATTTTTTCTTTGCTGTATTGAGTTACTTGCGTAGTTGCTGTACTAAAGCCATAACATGTAATGAACTTGGAGCAAATAGTTAACTGTGTTAATTGTAATCATTATTGCAGCATGTGCCTTGTGACTTCTCAAAATGGAATCAAAACTGAGAAAGAAATTTAATCCCTGCTTGTCACAACATTTGCTTTTGTGTTTGCTTTTCTGTAAGTTGTGCTTCTAACTAAAGGATGTGGGAAAGGAGTTTTTGAAGGATTTTTATGATCTATCCCCTAATTTACAGGAATACTGGAAATGAATTTACTGAGCTTATTTATGCAAAAAAGTGGAAGAAATTTTACTATTCTTTAGAGGGTCAGCTCTAATGGTAAAATTACCATTTTCTGTTCCATAGATAACTACATTCAGTGCCAGTTGGGAATTAAGCCTTGATTAAAATACAGAGTACTAAATGTCCTCCAATTTATAACATCCACCAGCTGGGAAAAGTTTTTAAGCAATAATGATATAAAAGCATTACTAAATAGGAGTAGAAATAGGATCAAATTAATTTATAACTAAATTTTGGTAAGGGTCTTGAACAAGCATTTTACCTTGGTTTTATTAGTCAGTAAGTAGTTCAGACCAAAATCCCTGATGGAATATGTCCTAAACTGCCATAAGCCCCTTCTCAACAAATACAAAAATATTTACAGTAGAACAGCTTGTCATCCATATGTGGACTTTTGTCAGTCTTTATTTAAAGCCTGAACAAATATTAAGAAGCATTATCACAATGACTTCAGTTCTGACAGGAACAGCTTGCATGTAAAGTTTACAAAGAAGTTTGATAATGTGATCTTGAGTATAGCTGTATTTCTCTCTGCAGCAGATGGTAAGCTTGACTTGATCTGACTGCAGAGTTGTTTAAAAAGAAAAATAAAAATTCATGTAGAAATTGATTTTCTGCACGTTCTGATCTGAAAGAACTTGAAGCTTTCAAATTTGCTGACAGCAGCCTTTTTTCTCTGCCTTTACTTGTATATTTTTTGCTGGATTTACTGGATGAATCCAAAGCTTGTCATTAGCTAATCTTATCTGTCAGGGATGTAGGGATTGTGCCCAAGCCTTTGGTTTTGTGAGGAGGGACAGAAAAATGAGAGATTTCAATTGTTATCTGCTGGCTGTAAACCATTCCTGCCACGTGCGAGGTGAGGAGTGGGGAGAGGGAAGGGCTGGCCTGTAGGAAAGGCCACGAGTGACCCTGGTATTTTACACTGTGGTTCTTATTAAGCAATCTCCATTTATTTTGTGGTAAAAACACCGTGTGGAAAATTTTATCAGAGTGCATGTTTAGCAGTTCAGCAGTTATTTCGTTACTGGGTTTTTTTGGCATTTTTATTAATGATCTGATGTATGTTGTTCTGTTAATTAGATACCTCACACATTTTAACTGCTAAACCCCAATTTATATAGTAATTATGTTAGTTTTTGACTGGGTTTTGATCCAGAATGCAAACAGATAATCAAAAAGCATTCTGGCTATTTTAAAAAGTCTCCTGATCCTTTTTTTTGTCATTTGCTTTCTGTCCTTCTTTTTTTTCTTTTAACCCTTTCATGCTGATCATAGTTGAGACTTATTTTGGTGTCAGAGTTTTGGGGTGGTGTTGCTCTCTGGGTAACTTGGTGGCTTTATTTGATTTAAGAAAATCACAAAACCATCCATACTAAAACCTATATTGTAAGTTGAGCTCCAAATGAGTTGCTGCTCACTCAGAGGGGACCATTTCCAATTCTAAGAAATTCAGTGTGTGATCCCAAGCCTTTATGTCTGTGATAAACTTCCTGTAGTAGCACAGGGTCAAGCCCTGCTATTCTTGCATGTTCACACCCATGTGTTACGAGTTCAGTTGTGTCATGAACCAGAAATTCTGCTTTTATCCATAAACAGCCAAGTCATGGTGGAAAATTTGCTCATTCCAAATGGTTCCCCTCGCTGCACTCATGAATATCTTTTGTGAGTGTGGTTAATTTTACATCTGTGTGCCTGCAAGTTCTGTTAGATGTTTAGTGGTGATGTTTGATATATTCTCCTGTGAGCTTACAATGGAATTGGAGCTACTAAGTCTCTTTCATATCACACAGGGAGTGAAAGAATTTTTCATAAAAGTTTATTCTCATAAAACTGTATTTGAAATTGAGGGGAAAAAAAGACTTTGCTATTCATGCAGCTCTTGAAGAGCCACATTTGTTATGTTTCTCTTCCAAGCATGTTACTTTGGCAGGATTTCAGCACTTTATCAATCAGAACTGTGTTTGATGTTTTGGTTATTCCAGACTAGATCTAATGCACAAGCACCAGAAAAATACCTGCTTCCCCCTGTGAGCTGTAACTTACCCAGTTAGGGGTTTTGCAGTGCTGGTACTCATCTGTTTCATCAACTAATTATCAATTAAGGGTAGTACAGTGTAAGTATCAGCCCTGTGTTAAGGAGAGCATTTCCAGGAGCAGAGAATGTGCCTGCACTGATCACTGGGAGCACTTCAGAGCCCAGACATGGCAGTGAAACATGGATTGAAGGAAAAACTGGGACAAGAAGGGTAGGAAATAAAGTGGCAATTGGTAACAGAGAGGGAGAATAAATTGTTTTACAATAATATATTATCTATCAAATGCCTTTGAACTAAGATGTTTGGCTCCATATGTCTGCAGTTGATAGCTTTGATAAATTTTAATACGGGACTTCTTTTCTTCAGTGGTCAAGGAACAGAAGCAATTACTTTTGCTGGTCCATGAAATTGGTGTAAAATTGATGATGGTGCTGCTCACTGTCAACACAAAACAAATACAAGCCTGGGTAGAATGGGTTTAGCTGAGATCCTCAGTTCAGGTCTGCTGTACTCACAGGGAATGGTTTTTTGAAGTATTTCAGCCAGTATTCCATTGGCATATTCATGAGACTCTGATCACCAGACATTGATGATGGGGAAGGTTACACATTTAACACTCACAAGAGGATAGATCAGATTTAGATTCTTTCCCAGCTCTGCCATGACCAGCTAAATGCCTCTACACAGAGCATTTTATTCTGTTTATGGCTCTGCATCTCTTTGTATTTAATAAGAAGCATACAATGCCTTTTGTTCAAGCTATGTGATATTTGAATGCATTCAGGAGCATTAGGAATTAATATTGAGGAATGCTAACTGTGTACATCTTCATATTTATTCTGTAAATCTGTCTACTTAATTGTCTCCAGTGTTCTAGGTAAATTGTTGCCTTCCACTGCACCACAATGGCCACGGAGAATGTGCTGCAGCATTTTACAGAGCAAAAATGCCTTGGAGTAGAGTAATGTGCTGCAGTTCCCTCCCAACGCTTAGTACTGCTCAGACATCTGATATATATGGAATAATATAAATACCTGGGTGTCTTAATTTCTCTTCATACCCATTTTCTGATTTCTTTGGGAATGTCAGAAAATGGGGAAAGGACAGGAGGAGCAGATGAGGCTGCAGCCCTGGGGCTACTCCTGGTTCCAGAAACGTGCAGCTTGCACCAATGGCTGTGATGCTTTTTTTGGGATGCCAGCCATAACTTTCTACTTTATTTCCCAGGCTTATGGAAAAAGAAGAACTTCAAGGAGGTTAGGTTTGAAATGTGGATGATATTGGTGTAGCATCCACTGACAAAACTGTTCAAACATGGGGAGATGTGTGATTAGAGGTTACACAGGGTGACATTGCAAAGAGGACGTGCAGAGCAGGGCTGGAGCGTGGAATGATGTGTGGAGCAGAGTGAGGAGCAGTAATGGAGTAAGGAAATGGTTTAGATACCTCCTACATGAACCTCCATAGAATCATCACAGAATTCCAGAATAGTTTGGGTTGGAAAGGACCTTAAAACTCAGCCAGTTCTACCCCCTGTCATGGCAGGGACACCTTTGCTATCCCAGGTTGTGCCAAGTCCTGTCCAATCTGCCTTGGAGACCTCCAGGGATGGGGCAACTACAGCTTCTCTGGACACCCTGTGCCAGGGCCTCACCTCCTCACAGGGATGAATCTCTTCCCAATATCCCATCCAGCCCTGCCCTCCTTCAGTATGAAGCCATTCCCTGTGTCCTGTCCCTCCATCCCTTGTCCCCAGTCCCTCTCCAGCTCTCCTGGAGCCCCTTTAGGCTCTGGAAGGGGCTCTGAGGTCTCCCCAAAGCCTCCCCATTTCCCACTGGGCACCCCCAGCTCTCCCAGCCTGGCTCCGGAGCAGAGGGGCTCCAGCCCTGGGAGCATCTTTGTGGCCTCCCCAGGAGCTGCTCCAGCAGCTCCACGTCCTGCCAGTGTTGAGGATCCCAGGAGTGGAGGCAGCTCTGAAGGTGGGGTCTCACCTTGTCCTGTCCACTCTTCTTGTGCTGCAGCCAGGACCTGGGAGGTTTTCTGGGCTGCCAGGGCACATGAGGCCAGTAAAAGAGAGGGATTGAGGGGGAGAAGAGGAGAAGGGCGAAGAGAAGAACCAGAGGGGATGAACAATTGAGTCATTGCTGGAGTCACTCAAACTTGTGACTGCCGTTTAAAAGTTGTATTAGGAACAAAGGGGAGAAAAGACTTCTAAAGAGATTTGTAAAAGGAGCAAGCTCACATTTTAATACTGCAATAGTGTGTGTCATGTAAATATTTGAATAAATCTTTTAATCGGCTTTTCTTTCTGCTATGGTGTAGAAATACAAAAAAACCCACAGGCTCTGCTTATTTCTTCCACACAACGTTTGTGAATGCATTCAAAAAGAGATTGTGTTGTAATGATTGAAGAACAACAGCTATTAAAGTGTTATGGTGTTATGTACCATTTCTTGGTAATGTTAGTGAGTCAGGAAAAAAACAAAGAAATGCACAACAGCAAAAAAAAAAAAAATACTCTGTTGTATTTTAAGTCTGTAATGG